AATAAAATAAAAATAAAATAAAAATAAAATAAAAATAAAATAAAAATAAAATAAAAATAAAATAAAAATAAAAATAAAGTAAAAATAAAATAAAAATAAAATAAAAATAAAATAAAAATAACATAAAATAAAAATAACATAAAATAAAAATAAAATAAAAATAAAATAAATATAATAAAATAAAATCAAATAAAAATTAAAATTAAATAAAAAAAATTATAGAACATATATAAAAAAATAAAATAGAACAAATATACAAAATAAGATATATAAAATAATAGAATAAAAATAATAGAATAAAAATAAAACAAAAATATAATAAAAATGAATTAAAAATAAAATTGAATAAAAAATAAAAATAAAATAGAATACAAATGAAACTAATATAAAATAAAAATAAAAATGCAATAAAATTACAATATCTCAGGAATGAATTAAAAAATAAAATTGAATAAAAAAATAAAAAAGTAAAACAAAAACAGAGTAGAATAAAAATTAAATTAAATAGAATACAAATAAAATAAAAATAATTAAAATAGAAATAAAATTTCTAATAAAACTTGTTTATAACACTTAATTTTTAAAGGCAATTATGATAAAATAAATTATTTTCTTAGTAGAATTTAAAATTATTTTTATAAAAAATTTTCCAAAAAAATTTTATTATAGCAATTCTCGACTGTTCAAAAATCATTTTGTAATTAAACGTTTATGGGTATTTCCAATTGAGCGATAAACCACAATAGAAAAATATCCTAACAAAATAAAAAAAAAATAAGATTTGATATTTATAAAAATTTCAATAAAAAAGTAAAAAAATATATATTCTTAAGTAAACCATAGCGTATGAGTAACTAACAACATATGCATGCATATGCATACATACAGTCATTGGGTGTTTGTGTGTGTGTATGTGTTAATATGCTCACGCACTAGATCACTCCAACACCACGACTAAGAAACGTTTACAAAACGAGGTTAAATGCCATAGGAGGTTTGCCAACAAAACGTCAACACGACGAAAATAGCAACAAACACAATAAAACTAGTGGTGACAAAAGCAATAACAAGCAATCGCTGTTAACACAAACACACAAATACTAACAAATACTAAATAAATGGTGGCATATGCCGCATACATAAATTGTGTATGTAAAACTATTATAGTCCTGGAAAATGTAATTGCTTAAAGTAATGCTAAACAATGCCGCACATTGGAATAGTAGTAGTGCAAGTAACACTATGCCTCAAGTGTCTACGGCGGCGGCGGCAAACTAAAAAAAGTAAAACAAATACAAAAAAACAAATACACAAAAAAATAACAGCCTTAAAAAAAGTTTGCCACTTTGAAAAAAAAAAAAATATACCTAAAAGAAATGCAAATATGTGCATATATGCAAACATAAGTTGGCTAGAAAACTAAAAAAAAACTACCCTAAAAATATAACACAAACACACAAAAACAAAATAATAACAATAATAAAATAAAAATGTAAAAACTACAACACAAATAAAGTAATAAAGACAGTAATAGAAATGTATGCGGCAACATAGCAACATGACAGTAACAATAACAAGAAAAGCCAAACAACAAAAACAGCAGCAAGCAGCAGCAAGCAGAAAACAGCAACAAAGAGGAAGCGCCTAACTCACACGTATAGGGTGTTACTTAAAGGTGGGCATTAGCATTAAAGTGCTTTTGCTTTGGCTTTGACGTACATGTTTGAGTTGTGCGTTGCATATAAAATGCAGTAAAACCAAGTTTCACTTCAGGAGGTGTTGGCTGCGTTGTTGACGACTGACTGCATTGACTCTCGCTGTGTTCTGTGTTAGCTATGGTTTGGTTTGGTTAGTTCTGTTGTTGGTTACAAAAACAATTTATATAATACGGGCACTTTTTTTTTCAATTGAATTTTGCGCATGACGCCACACAGCGTTTGTGGAACAAGCCAAAACGTGTTAAAATAGCGTTGTACATACGTTGCAGCAAAGACAGCAAAGGCAACAGCGGCGGCAGTAGCAACAACAACATCAGTAGCAATTTACTTGTATATGAAAGAGTATATATGCATGTATCAAAATGGGGTCAATGAGTCATTGACCGAAGTCAAAGGGATGCGACAAAATTGAAAATTGATATAGAAACTTACACGCTAGTGTGCAACTACAAGCTTTTCTTTCTTTGTGTTTGTATGTGTGTGTTAAAGTGTATTAGTAGTGGCTTTGTGTGATTCGTAATTCGTTTTAACGAAACGGAAGGAAGTAAAAAATTTCTAATACATAAAGAAATTAAATATATAAAGAAAATGGGAGTGCAATACTTTTAAATGCAATTTTGTGAAATTTTTTATAAAGTTTCATTTAATCGAGCTTAAAGTTGATTATTTAACTCCTAAATGATTAATAAATAACACTATTTAGTATATCAAAAGTTTTTTATATATTTAAAAAAAATATATATAAACATATATCGGTTTATATTTTCTACATACTCTACTTTTAATTTAAAGAGATTTTGTTAAAATTTACTTTAAAATTTTTAAGATTTCTGTTATAAATAATAATAAGAATCTTAATAATTTCTATTAATTAAAATTAATATTATTCTAATTAATATAATATTCGATTAATAATATTCTATTGTTAATAATTCGTTTTCATTGGTTACAATGCAATTGAGAAATGATAGCTTAACGAAAATAATTGTGCAAACATTATAAATATTTTAAAATATCAGTTTCGTATGACAACATCGACTTTAAAAGCAACAACAACAACATAGACAACAACGAATTGTGAGGAATTCAACTCACCACACCACACCAGACATAGCGAGCCATTAAGAAGGTTGAAAGGTACGCGGACAATACTTTGACGTACGCCGCTTATCAACAATATTAATTTGTTTTTCACTTGTCTGTGTGACTGTGTGTGTGTGATGTTTATATTTTAAAGAATTCAATTAATAATCTAAGTAGTCCAACATGAAATACAAAAACAACACAACTTGACTCAAACAGGGTGTTGCCATAATTGTGAGTTTTTTTTATTTTTATTAAGGTAATCATACGTCACGTAAGCCCAATTTAAGTCACAAGCAGCTGTTCGATTTGTTGTTGAGTGTGTGTGAGTTTATGTGTCACATCTGATGTATTTATTCGCTTTTATTGATGGGCAAAATAATAGAAAAATTTAAATAAAATT